CAGGTTTGCCCACTTACAAAGAATGCAACGATCTATAACTTTAATCATATGTACATTCTAACAGTGAAAGACAGAATCCCAAAGAAAATTCCAGAAAATCACATCATATGAATTTATAAAAATTGATAACCATCTGATGAGGAAAAATAAGCATTCTTTGTAAGTGGGCAAACCTGAAAAATCAGCAAGGGGTCAAATACTTATTTACCCCACTGTATATATATATATATATATATATATATATATATATATATATATTGTTGTAACATATTATTGGTGTTAATATTTTTTTTATTAGATTTATATTTTATCTGCAAAAATACAAAAATTTGTGGCATCAATTAAAGATGTACAAATCATAAAAGTGATTACAAAAATAAGAACTGTAGTCATAAACCATGAAGAAGTGAAAACACTATCATGCAAAGTTTTACTGCAATGGTGCCTCACTTCCAGATTTTCCAAATGCATTATTCTTTACCAACAGAAAATTTTAGGATCAAGTTGTATGGATGGATGGATGTTGAAGTGAACAATGTAAATCTGACATGTTGAATATGCAAAGTGATCCTTAATTTCAAACTTTTGTATCTAATGTCAGAGACAGATAAGGATAAAATATAAATATGCCTTAGAAAACAAACTCCAATACCCAAAAACTGATTTAATTTCTCTGTTTGTGAACCCACTGAAATGTATTTCCTTCTTTATGGGGGTAAGACGGCTGACTAATTACGTGTGCCTTGAATAATTATAAATTATAAATAATTATAATTATAATCGTTAGATAATTTCCTTCTGGGATTGTTAACCCTTTAAAGCCTGATCCAAGAATAAAACAAAACAGAAAATTACTTTTTTATTTATTTATTTGAATTCCTTTTTTGCCTTTTTACAAAATATGTAAAAAGAAAAAACAGAAATACATTTTTTATATTAATAATATATTACTATGCGATAAATCCAGATTATTTTTTGTGATTTTTTCTGATTGTGTACAATAGGATTTAGAGTAGTTTTTACCATTAAATTATGCAAAAAGTGTCAGACGCAAAACATTTCAGAAACCGTATGAATCAAATATGATACATTTGGCATTACAGGGTTAAAGTTGTTCTGATTCTGGTTCTGCAGATGTGTCTGAGGAGGACAGTGTCTCTGCTGCTGTGCAGACTGTGAGTCGGCACATCGGGGTTGCCGGTTTAAATCTCTTAATCAACAACGCTGCCATCAACAAACCGGCGGCCCCCGCTCCACTATCAGCCACCGGGAAGAGGGACATGATGGAGGTGTACGAGACCAATGTGGTCGGACCTTTTATCCTTTCAAAGGTAAGCTGGTCACATTGGTCAGGTTCAGAAAGGGAAGTTGCTTTTCTGAATTATTATGAAATGTGAAGGGGAAACTAAAATATCAATCAATATATATGCAAAAGGTTTGGTAGAAATCCTCAGTGGTCACCCTGGTTTGAAATGACTAATTTGGTAATTTAGCTTATAGACATGTAGCATGTCGGTGAACACAGGTGAGTTTTCTTAGTACACAACATTTAAATCCAACTGCTCAACATCCGATACTGAAGATTTAGATTCTGAAATTAGAAAGAATTGTAAAAGGTAGCTGGATACCATTGTTAACATTTATTAAATACTGTGAAAGGTTTATGTAGGAAGCTAATTTCTGATGTTAACATGTTTTTTTTCTAGTCTAATCTTTTTTTTTTCCTTTATATTATTCTATTTGCATAATGAAGTTATTGTATAATTGCCTAATGATTTTTTTTGTTGTCCTCTGTGGTATTCAACATGATAGTATGTAGTAATAATGAGGACATTCAGTACTACTAATACAGTGCCATTTAACCCTGTAATGCCAAATGTATCATATTTGATTCATACGGTTTCTGAAATGTTTTGCGTCTGACTCCTTTTGCTTAATTTAATGGTAAAAACTTTGCTCAAAATCCTATTGTACACAATCAGATACACCTGATAACAGGGGGCAGAAGACTACACAAAAAATAATCTTGACTTATCGCATAGTAATAAATTATTAATATTAAAAATGTATTTCTGTTTTTTCTTTTTACATATTTTGTTAAAAGGCCAAATAAAGACTTCAAACCCCCCAAAAAAGTAATTTACTGTTTTGTTTTATTAGTGGGTCAGGCTTTAAAGGGTCAACATTTAGTAAATAGTGAATGGCTTATGTAGGAAGCTCATTTTTTATTTTAACATGTTTTTTTTCTTAGTCTAATCTTTACATTATTCTATTTGCATTATGAAGTTATTGTATAATTGCTTAATGATTTTATTGGTTGTCCTCTGGTATTTTACATGGTAGTACTTAGTAATAATGAGCACATTCAGTGTTATGACCATGTAAAAAGCAATATAGTGCAGTTTAACTGCAGCTTTCTGACAGCATCTTTTAACCAGCATCAACCATGTGACCACTCATGATTATGTAACGTATCACTAATGGACCTTGTCCATTTCCAGATGTTTCTCCCACTCCTGCAGAGAGCAGCAGAACGGTTTCCCACCGACCCGCAGAACGGTAAACACCCACATCTGTGTGAAACTGCTCATGTGGACGGGTGGTTGTGTGTCTCTGTGTGTGTGGCCCTGTGATGGACACGGTGGCCCCCACCTGTCGCCATATTGGACCAAAAAACCTAAAAACAAAAGTGTCTGGAGACGCAAAAAATGAAAAGCCTTATAATGAAGGCAACACATGCTGTATGCATCTATATTAGCTGTTTATATATATATATTTTTTTGGAACTTTTTATTTTCAAGAATTTTCACAAAAAAAGAACATTCCCTGAGCCAAGAGCAATGAAATCAATAACAGAATTACTGATGCCACATATACAATATTTCAAAAATAAATGCAGCACAATAAACCACACCACCTGAAACTTTGAATACCCTAAAAGAGAAAACTGCACATACACACTACCATATGTATACATACACACACACAGGCCAAAAATGCAACATAAAATAAACAAACAGCAAAAAATACATATATAATATATACACACATACATGTATACATACATATACAAATACATACCATAAGAATAGAGATGAGAGAGCAGATTGCAATTCATTAGAATCACTACAGCCCAAAATCATACACCATAATATAATTTCACCAAACTCAATCTTTGATTGAACTCGTCCACTTTGAGTTGTATATTAGCTATATTAGCCTACTATCAAAATGACTAAGTTGGCTATAAATATATAATGAGCCTTTATGATTAAATGTTTATTTTCCCTGCAGAGCATCCTATACAGTGACTATTTTCTTGTACAATTTTTCTTGTGTCAGGCTATGACACAAATCTTTGACAAAAATGTTGAAATTGAATGATTATTCTACAAATTTTACAGCATTGGAAAACGTTAAGAATGTCTGTTTCGTGTTTGTCCTCCTACGGAAACCATATTAAAACAGAACATATGTTTCTTTTTCCATTTCCTAAACATTTTTAAAAAGCTCCAGGCAGCCACCAGGGCGGCGCTAGAGAGGTTGTCCGTAACTGCGTGTGGGATTCATGGCCTCTCTTATCTCTTTAACAGGTGGAGAGATGTCCTGCAGGAGGTCGGCCATCATCAACATGTCCACTCTCATTTCGTCCATAGAGAAATGTCCGGAAACCTTCCCGGTGGCTCAGATGTACCCATACCGCACCAGTAAGGTCAGTTTTTTAGTTCAATAACTCATGACTTTGGTTATTGAGTTTAGCATAAAATAATTTTCCATTAATCTTAGACTGGAGGTCTTCAACAGGTGGTCCGCGACCCATAGGGGGTCCCGGAAGTACTGCATGGGGGTCCCGAAAGTTTTGGTTGATTAGACTTTTTGTTATGTAAATGTCTTTAAATCCACATGAACATGAATCCAACAGACTGTAGTAAACAGATAAATCTATCTATCTATCTATCTATCTATCTATCTATCTATCTATCTATC